ATATTTCATATAATATTAAATCGTTTAAATGATCAATTAAAATTATTAAAATCTTATGATATAATTCGTTTAATAATTAATTTAAAACAACAACATATGAAAGAATATTTACGTGCATATGATTCATATAGAAAACAACGTAAACCAAATCGATTAAGTAAATCACTTGTTGAAGAATTTTCTCAAATTAATAGTTTGCATCGTTCATTAATTAATAATGATATTCATATATATTTAAAAGCACTTGTTGAATTATTATTAACAAATTTAATACCTGAACCAGTTCAAATTTATTCTGGTAGTCGTACAGGACGAGAATTTCTTACACAAATTATTGTTAATTGTATTTTTTTACCATTATTTAATCAATTTTCTAAACCACGAATGATTTATTATTTAATTATTCTTTTATGGGAAACTGAAGAACAAAAAAAATCTTTTGAAATTAATGAAAATTCTTTAGAAAAACAATTAGAAACAAATACAAATCAAAATGAAAATGAACCTATAATAATTACAGAAAATTTAACTAATCAACAAAATCATGATGATGAACATCGATCAACACGTTTAGAACATATTATTTATTCTGCAACTATTATTTCATCTGATACAGCATATGATTCTATGTTTGGTGCAGCTTATACTGTTTATTTGATTCAAGTAATATTTGATAAGAGATAGAAAATATGATAAAATTAGAGTTCTTTTTTGTTTTCTTTTGCATAAATTTTTTTTTTTTGTCTAGTGTGAAACAAAATCTCCATTTACATCAGATGCTACTCATCGATATACAGTTCCAAGACGTTTTCGTGAATTTATAAATTTACATAAAAGATTACAACAAAATCATATAACTAGTCGACATTGTTATGGTTAGAATAGAATTTTATTAGCTCAATTAAAGATTTTGTTTTTTTTGTTTTTAAATTATTTTAGATATTGATGAAGTTTTTCGAACACTTCCTACTCCAATTGATAATATGAATCCAGATGTTATTCGTCGACGAAAACATATACTTGAACAATATATTCAAGTATATTTATTTTATTTGAATTGAAAAAAAAAAAGGAAATAATATTAATAAAAGTTTTTTTTTTTTTTTTTGTTTTATTTAGAAACTTATTTCAAATGAAGTTTTGAATTGTTCACATGATGTACTCGAATTTTTTGCCTTTAATTCTGATCCTAATATACCATTTGGCATATTACCAAGTAAATTATCAGTTCCACGTGTTGATAGAGTAAATTTTGATTAAAAATTGAATTTATCTGTATCATTATTTTCTTTTTTGTTTTTTAAATTTCAAGGTTCTACTTCGCACCTTGTCCGATATGGGAAATAGATTAAATAGATTACGTTCAACTAAACGTGAAATGGCTCCATTACATGAAACATTTCAATTAAATATTTCAACAACATATGAAAATGTATGTTAAAAAAAATTAATTTAGCATGTGAAATACTCTATGAATAGCTTGTCTCGAAATTGGGTCACTTTTTAATGATTTCATCTGTACTGAACTAAGAATTATTTATGCTTGACAAGTTCGACTTCTACTCTATTAGAGCTCAGCTCAACTTAGAGAATGGTACTAGTAAAAGTATATTTCTTTTTCAAAAAAGGACAAATAATTTTACTGTTTGAAAAACTAGCATGAGAGATAAGTTGAACTACTTATTGAATTGAAAAAGTAAGATGTACAAATGGGTACTTCAACTTTTTGAAGACTATTATTTATTAATATTAGCTTTCACGGAGTAAAATGCTCGTTAATCAATTTCGAAGAGTCTGATCGATTATGCTTTTTAATTATTATTGAAATGTGATTCTTTCACTGTAAAGATAGATTTCAATTTTATTTTGGTCAATTGAAATATTTTCTTAATGTCGATTAAGAAAGATTAAAATTAGACTTGTATGGTAATCAATTATTATCATTTAATCGATTTAGTTAGAAGAAAAAAATGTCGATTTAAATCGGATTTTCTTATGTGAGAAATCTTCTTTGAAAAAAGAAATAATATGAGAGCCTAGTAGTTCATTTCAAGTATGAATGAATGACAAGGTTTTATTTAATGTTCTAATGCTAAATTTAACTTTCTATAAAACTTTCATCTCTTGAAAAAGTTCTTTTGTGTGTCAATATAAAACTAAAATAATGAATATTTATTCAATCATATCATTTTGAAAGTCAAAAAAAGAGTAAAGAAAAATAAATTTCAATAAATAAATGAATAATTTTCTTTATAATTTAATTTTCTATTTGATTATATTTCAATATATATTTCACTGGACAAGTTTGACTAACCATGGAACGTTTTCAATTGCTAATAAATCTCAGAATTATTCAGAATATGACTATGAGAAAACTTCTTGGAATTTTATATACTGATTTGCTAGACTAAAAAGCATTTTGTTGAACTTGTTTTTGATTTATTCAGATTATAGAGTATATCATATTGTCTATAAGCAAATAATCTTTTCTGTTTTCGAAAAATAAGTGTTAAGAGAAGTGATATCATTTTGAAGATGGTCACATAATAACGTTGATGTGTATCTGTTGTATAATATATTAGTCTGAAAAATCGATTTTCAGAAAACCAGGATATGAAATCTAAAGAAGATTTCTCATGGTCATATTCAGAATCAGTATGATCGATAACTTACAATCTAGTATCTTTCGTTAAAAAGACGATTGATCAATTGAAAACGTTCTCTTAATCGATTTGCACAGGTTAGATGGGTAACTTGTTTATCAAGTTTTTTTTCTAAATTTTTCAATTTGAAAAACATCCTTTTTTTTAGTAGAACATATTAACATCAAAATATACGATCGAATATCCGTGTTAGTGTATAATTAAAAATATTTTTTTGTTTTTTATTATTTTGGCAAGAGATAAGCATAAAAAATAATATACGACTGTGACGACACTGTTAATTAGCTATTTATTATTTATCTATCCGTTTCGTTCATTTAGTGTTCATCATTTCTAATCAGTTATTATCATTATCTTACACAAAATTGTCGTAATATAGCAGGACTTGATATGTAGTCTTCAATTAATTCATCAATTACATTCAAAACGTTCTTATTCAAGAATAGGTTTTTTTTTTCTTAATGTTAACGTTTTCATTTTTGTCTTATCTTAGTTCGTATTAGAGATATGCACGATAAGTTTTGTCCGTATTCTAGGTTCTGATTTAGAAAAATTTTCAAATCTTTGTTCTATCCTTTCCTACAGGTTACAATAACCCTTCATATCTTCATATGATTCATACTATATCAAATTAATGAATCTCTCCTATCGTTATGTTATTTCATTATACGTGATGTCCTTGCTTTCATGAATAATCATCATAATACTAATACGTAAAAATAATTTATAGATCATAGCAGATAGACAGGTTGAAAAGGTTGATAGTTTTTTTTTGATAGATTTGTTTGAACATCTTATAGACAACTATTTATTTATAGACATCATCTACATTGGAACAATTAAAATTTTATATTCATCAATCATCATTTCGATGTCCATCATCTTTAGTACAATTACATTCAACAGATTCAACATTTTTACAAACATTATTAACACGTTCATCGATAGCAACATCGCGTCGAAATAAAATAATTCGTAAGATCAAAAAAAGAAAAAAATTTATTATTGAAATTTAATTCTTTTATTTTTAATTAGATTCAGATATACCTTTAACGGATGCAGTACTTGATTTACTTCATATATGTTTACATTCTTCTGATGCAATAATTAGTTATCAATCAATTCATCAAATTCTTCGTACAGTTTTTGGTCATTTTATTGAAGAGTTTGTTTTTTTTTTCCTTCACATATAAGAATAAAAATGATTTTCTAGATTTTTAAAAAATCAAATCGATGATATATTTTCACGTGAAAATATTCTTATGTATTTAATTGATTTACGTACAAAAGTACTTTGGCCTGATGATGATAATAATACTGTTATACCAATGAAAAATGTTAAACATCGAGCATATAATGCTTGTATGAATCAAATTCCAAGTATGAACGTTTTTTTTTTTTTGTTTTTTAAATTTTTCTTATTTTGAAAATTAAAAGATTGGCTTCAATATATTGTTGGTAAAGAAAATATTCGTTGTATTATTATGAATGTCCTTGAATGTTTAAGCCATGAACAACTGAATAAGTTTGTATTTTTTATTTGAATATACTTAGAAAAAAAAATTATCTTCTTTTTGTTTTTCTATATTATTTAGACATTTTATTTGTAATTTATTTGATTTATTTATTGAACTATTAATACCAAATATAGCAACAGAAGATTTTCTAACTAAATATGTTCAGATGCATGCTGGTAATCGATCATAAAATGCAATTTAATATTCTTATTTTCACTAGTCGATAGCTGTGATTTTGTTTTCAAAATTTACTATATAATTTCTGATTTATGTATTCATTTAATATATTTGTGTGATTGTATTTTTTTTTTGTATGCATATGTACAGTCGAATAAATTTGTTTTTGATATAAGAAAAAAAAAAAAAAACGAAAAAAAAGAATCAAAATGAATGACATATATAAGCAACAATAAACAGGTGAAGATAAAAAAGTATATGTAGTTGCCCTCACTTTTTTTTCGCTATTTGTATGTCATACATAAACCTTTTATACGTAATACTGTGGTCCTAGTGTTGAGTATAAAAGCCTTGTCTACTGAAACACAAGGTAATTCTATGTATATATTTTCTTTGTATACGATCGAGTGAATGATTATGTATTTTATCTATCAAAGAAAAAGATGATTGCGTATACAAATCTATTCATATTGACGCTTTTATACCTATATTTTTTTTCATATACATCATTCATTACTTTCTTAGCATATATATTTCTTTTTCGATACACAACAGTCTGATAGATTTTTGTGCTCATTTTACAAAAAAAAACACCATCGTCTTTATTTTCAGTATATAGCACTATTTTTATTTTAATTTTTCCATGGCTCACCATTTTCTCAACAGTAATAATATTAGTGGTAATCGCCGACCAGCATCAGTGGCTGCATCAACCAGCAATCATATTACACAAGATAATTTTGATTATGAATTGAAGCAATTAATGGAACAAGAACGTCAATTAATGGCTGCACAGGTGTGCATATTGCTATTCATAATTTTATATTATGCGTATTTATTTTATTTCTAGAAGCAATTACCAATAGATAATAATGTAATTACACCACAAAACACTTCGTATATACCATCAGGTGATAACTTATATAGATACGTACAACAACATCAGAATACTCCCCCAATTGATCAACGAGTATTACAACCAACATCAACAAATATATCAGCTCAATCATCGCCAACAAAACCACTTCGTATCATTATTATTCGTCATGCTGAACGAGTTGATGCTGTTTTAGGTTCGGATTGGTCAAAAAAAAGTTTTGATAGAAATGGTCGTTACGTACGATTTAGTGAGCATTTACCAGAAGCGTATGTTAAATAGAAAAACAAAATGTTTTTTTTTCTTTAACGCAATAATGTATTCATTTTAGATTACCGCATCGTTCTTATTTACATCATTATGTTATTGATGTACCGTTAACCAATCGTGGCCGTATGCATGCAATAAAAACAGGTAAAGCATTATTACTCAATGGATATGGAGCTGATATCTGTTATACAAGTCCATCATTACGATGCGTACAAAGTGCTAATGGAATATTAGCTGGTATGGGTAAACAAGCTATACCGATGCAAGTGGTAAGTTATATTTTTAAATTATATTTAGAATCTATTTGTTAAATATTTATGTTAATTAAATAGGAACCTGGTTTATTTGAATGTTATTTAAATGATTTTAAGCGTACATTATGTTTTATGACAAAAGAAGAGTTAGCAACTAATGGATACAATATTGATCAATCTTATCAACCATTAACACCATTTATGCGACCACATGATAGTCAAGCTGATTATTATGAACGATGTCGAATACTTATGGATCAAATTACAGAACGACATCAAGCTACAGGTGGAACTATTTTAATAGTAGCACGTAAGTTTTATATACTTTTTTTATTGATTTAAATTTCAAAATGTTAAAATCTGATTCTATTTTTATTTATTTAGATGCACCAAGTCTTGAAGGATTGACACGTCATTTATCTGGTGGAAAACTTCAACCAGGTCGATTGATTTTTCTTTTTTGTACTGAAAAATTATAATGAAAATCTTTATTTTCTATTACTTAGAAAAACTATTTGATATTGCTCGTCGAGTACCATTTCTTGCAATGACCATTATCGAGAAGAACGGTATTAATAGTCCATGGCTCTTTCGGACAAGACCACTTCACGCAAATCCAACAAAATCAATGCAAGAGTTACCCTTTGAATTAATTTCACCATCGACGCCTCTTGGTATGATAGGTAATAATCATTCGATGACTCCACAAGGACAACAACAAATACAACGTCAACAACAACAACAACAACAACAACAACAAAGACAAAATCAGCAACCGTCTCACATTCAATCGACTGCTACATATCTACAACAACAGCAACAACAACAACAACAACAACAACAACAACAAAGACAAAATCAGCAACCGTCTCACATTCAATCGACTGCTACATATCTACAACAACAGCAACAACAACAACAACAACAACAGCAACAACAACAAAGACAAAATCAGCAACCGTCTCTCATTCAACCAACTGCTACATATCTACAACAAAATCAACAATCTAGACAACAAAATCTTACTCCAATTGAAAATCTACAATTGAAACCATCAATTGGACTTATTCCTATTGATTTAAAAAAGGTTGTTAAAAGTTCAACAGCACCAAATTTACGCATGAGCAATTCACTTAGTGAAATATTTCGCGTTATTTGAGTCTATTAAAAAAGATTAACAATCTTCATTTTTACACAAGTTTTTTAATGATATTTTGATATTTAAAAAAATAAAATAAAATTTAATGTTTGCTTATCGAGCGCGCGAACTGTCCGAAAATAAAATCATTTTTCTTTTACTGTATATATACATATATATAATCATGAGTTGGAGAATTCGAATGAATATTGATTCATCTATACAATTAAAATCATATCAAATGTTAACAATACCATCAAATAACCAATTCAATAATTCATGGAATCAATCAAAAATTCAATTATATCTAACTAATTCAATTCCAAATACAAATAATCTTAAATCAAAAATACAGACAATGTTCACTAATGCTCATCCTCATCATTATGTAAATGCTAAACGTTGTCTATCAAAAGAGACAACATCAAATATAACAATTGAGAAAAAACAAAAAAAAATATCTGATGAATCTCAAAATTTTGTTCTTGTTTGTGGTCAAAATATTTGTGGTCAACTTGGTCTATCAACAACCATTATCGAACGACGTAAACCGCAGTATTTAAAAATTGTCAACAATGTTAATCAAGATGAAAATATTCAATATATATGCGCAGGTGGTATGCATTCATGTGCATTAACCATAACCGGTTATGTCTATACATGGGGTTGTAATGATGACGGAGCCTTGGGTCGAATAACAGATGATATTGATGATGAGTACATTCCTGGTTTATTTGTATTACCCGAAGAAGAAATTAAAAGTCTTTGTGCTGGTGATACATTTACTGTTGCTTTAGCTAAATCTGGTCGAGCTTATATAAGTGGTTGTTTTCGATGTAGTGAAGGTTTACTTGGTTTATTCGAATATAAACAAATAACACAACAATCAATTGTTATTCCATTGAATCAACCGATTAAACAAGTTGCATGTGGTGCTGATTTTTGTCTTTTACTAACAGAAAGCGGTACTAGTTTTTGTTTAATGAAAATTAAAGAAAATCATTTTTATGAATAATATTCATTTTTTATATAGATTATTTAATCTCTGATCAAAAAGTTTTTAGACAAGATGTTTGTTTACTTTACCTGCTAGAAACAGTTGAAAGCTACGAGGAAATTTGTGATCTTTTCGCATATGGACTTGCAATGAAACTTCTTCAGCTGTCTACTTTCGATTATAATAAGTATTTGCCTATAGATACTACATAGTGTTCTCATAAACACTCTAGAAGGATATAGGTTCCTAATGATAATTGAGTAAACTATCAAATTTTCTTTCTAGAGATTTCAGATTTTTGGAAAACTCATGTTTTCAAATTTTGTATTTGAAAGTTTATGCATACATAGAACTTGAATAGAAGAGTTTCCACAAAAAAAATGTAAAAGTTTTGAACTACATCTCTTCGAGATAATGAAACTTTCAAAAAATGTTTGTAATATACATTATCCATGAAACAGAGCTTATGTTTTGGAAGAGACATTGTTTAACACCTCTGCATTTTTTACAGAAGCTTGTCTACTTGAATTCTTTATATGCACAAAGCTTCAGATTAAAATTTATAGATACGAGTTTTTCAAAAACCTGAAATGCAGAAAATAATCATATTAAAAATTCGATGGCTTCAGTCATATATCAATCGGAACTCAAATCCTTTTAGATTTTTTTATTAGAACACTACATAGTATCTATAAGCCAAAAAAAACATTAAAACCTGAAGAAGACAGCTGAAGAAGATTTTTCTTTTAGAAATATTGTATCTATTTTTGTTCAAGAATAGTGAGGAACTTTGTGAAAAATATAAAAAATTACTTTTAATGTTGAGCCATCAAGTTTTAGTTTATTTCAAACGTTTCTATTCAACATATTAACAAATTTTTATGTTCTATTTAATTAGGTGATCTCTATTCATTTGGAAATAATGAAACAGGTCAATTAGGTCGGGATGTTCATCTTGAACCTAAAGAAAATGTTTCAATATGGTTACAACCTTCTCAAATTTCTTGTTTTAATGGACAACATATATTAAATATATGGGCTGGTGGACATGGTTTTTTTGTTTTAACACAAAATTCAACAATTCATCTTTTTTCTTGTGGTGCTAATAGTTTTGGTCAACTAGGTCATTCATCAAAACAACCAATTTATTTACCAATGGAAATCAAAGAAATTTCATTCGTAGATAAAATTATAAAAATATCTTGTGGTCTTCAACATACACTTATACTTGATTCAATGGGATATGTTTATGGACTTGGAAGAAGTGATGATGGTCGTTTAGGTAATAATCTTAATAATGATGTAATTATACCTAAACAAATTGATAATCTAATAAATATTATTGATATTGCTGCTGGTGGTAGTGTTTCATTTGTTATTAATGAATATGGAGAAATTTATTCATTTGGTATGGGTGATACATGTCAAATAGGTCATGGAAATGATGATATTTTTGTACCAACGTTAATCAAAAGTAAACAATTAGAACAACGAAAAATTCAACAAATATCAGTTGGTGCTCAACATACACTTTTTCTTGTTAAAGACAATTTAAATTAATATGACAAGTTGTCAGAGTAATTTTTCATTGATTGGTTGTTAAAAAAGACATATCAAATGATTTCATTCGTCTGCTTCTATCATGATTGGTCTAATGACTTTCTGTTTGTTTTGTTTTTAAAAATATGAATGATTATTATAATAACCGGAATGTCACGGTTGGATAATTTTTTTTTTGGTTTCTTGTAGTTATCTCAAATACTTCATTTTATAACTCTTAGAAAGAAGAAATACTTTTTCCGTTCTTTTTTTCTATCATAAACGATGCAATCGTGTCGATTTTGATAGAAAGAAAGAAAGAAAAGAAAAAGGGACACATCAACCACATTTTTTTTTCTAAAGGACTTTTATGCAATAGTGAATTTACTTAGTTTTGTATGTCAACTTTTTTCTCTCTTTCCCCCCTTTTTTTTTAATACTTGCAAAGTTTGTCGTCTATGCAATAATTGGAACAACAACACATAGATGTGGTATGAATAAAATATTACATTTTTAAATATAAATTTAAAATGAAACTATTTTTAGTTAAATAATTTGATTTTAAACTTTATGAAATTCTTATATATATAGTTTTCAGATAAAACTATGATACAAATCGTTGATATGACAATAAAGATTTTTCTTTTTATTTTGTTCTTATCATCGATAAATGCTTTTTATTTACCTGGTTTAGCACCGAATACATTCTGTCGAACATCAATACCAGATTCAAAATGCAAAGTGAGAAATGAAAAAAGTAAAGAGTTTTTTTCATTTTAACAATTTTATTTTTTATGTAGACTCAAGTTGAAGTCTTTGTCAATCGTCTTGATTCAGTTGAATCTGTATTACCTTATGAATATGCATAGTGAGTTTAATTGTAATTATTTATTAAAAAAAAAAGTCAAATTTTTAAAAAATTAGTTTTGATTTTTGCACTGTTATTGATGAACCATCACCAGTAGAAAATCTTGGTCAAGTTTTATTCGGTGAACGAATTCGTCCATCACCATATAAAGCTAGTTTTAATTTTTTTTTATATAAATTTAATATAGATGTATATATATATAATTTTAGTTTAATTTTCTTACAAATGTTCAGTGTAAACATGTATGTAAAAAGACATTTACAGCAACTGATGTTAAACAACAAAAATATCTTAAACGTTTAATGAAAGGCATGGTTTTAAATTATCAACAACATTGGATTATTGATAATATGCCAGTAACATTATGTTATTTAAATTCTGAGAATAAAGAATTTTGTTCGCGTGGTTTTCCAATCGGTTGTTATGTAACTAAAAGAGGTCAATCAAAAGAAACATGTAATATTCGAGATGGAAAAAATGATACATTCTATATTTTTAATCATTTGGATTTTGAAATTAGTTATCATAGTGGAGCAGGTATGATAATAAGAAAACTATTCTTTATGCAAAATATATCAGTTGTTACTTAAAATAGGTGAAACATGGGGAGCTGCATTTGGAGAGGATGGTGGTCGGATCATCGCAGCGAAAGTTCAAGTTAGCAGGTTTGTGTTATATCAACCTATATTGTATAATGTAAGATGTTGTATTTGTTCTAATCCAATCATGAATCTATGCTAAATGTCTTATTTATATAAAATCAAACATAGATATTATTACAGAAAGTTATCATCATTGTTTTGAAAATAATCAAAATAAAAAACTCATTTTTCCAATGTTGAATTGTTTTGTGAAATATAATGAAGATGCATAAATCTAAGCCCTATTCTTTTTTAATTATTTTAGTCTAAATTCAGAGACTTGTGAACGTAGTGCTCAACCCGTTATGTTTCAATCAACATCAACAGAAGTTGAAATTCCATTTACATATAGTGTTTCATTTAAACGAAATAATGATATACGTTGGGCTAGTCGATGGGATTATATACTTAAATCATTACCTCAAACAAGTATTCAATGGTTTTCAATATTAAATTCTCTTGTTGTTGTACTTTTTCTTTCTGGTATGGTTGCTATGATTCTTGTACGTACATTATATAAAGATATAGCTCGTTACAATCAAATTGTTGATAATATTAGTGAAGTAAAACTAAAGAAAAATTTCATTTCATATGATAATTTATTTATTTGTTTTATAAGGAGGATGCTCAAGAAGAATCTGGATGGAAATTGTAAAATTTTATTTATTCTATTATAATTATTATTTATTTAATAAAAATAAATATATATATATATATTTTTTAGAGTTCATGGTGATGTATTTCGACCACCAAGTAAAGGAATGCTTTTATCTGTTCTTGTTGGTAATGGTGTTCAAATAGCAATCATGTCATTGATTACTTTGAGTAGGACTTTTGTTTTTTTTTTAATTTGATTCTCAATGCATTTTTATGTAATGTATTTAGTTTTTGCTTGTCTTGGATTTCTTTCGCCATCGAGTCGTGGTGCTTTGATGACTTGTAAATTATTTCTTTTTTTAAAATATGTTTTATTTAT